ATCTCTATGCTGTTTTTCCTATTTCTTATCTGAGGCTGGTTTAACTACTTATTTTCATCCTGGAATAAACCTGAAAAAGATCCATTCTTACAGCATCAAACTCTATGAAAAGCTGGAAGAAGAGACTGGACAGGTAATTTCCTTAACCTTTTAAGTATTAATTCAGATCAACACTAGGCTTACTAGCAGTCTTACAAAAAAGTTTGGAAATGACAAGTTCTATATATGTGTGTGTTCATGACTATCATAAGGCTCTCTTTTTACTGCAATATGTTCTCCTGCCTGCTTATCTATGCTGTAATCTGGTTCTTAGTCACTAAGTATTTTAGATTGTTTCCTAGATCCCTCTAAAGTTTAAGAATATCGTTTCCATAAAACATCTCAGAAGCTCAGCAGACTGAGTCTGCAACATTAGCTTGGTATAGGAGTTAAAATAGCATCAGGAACCTGGAATGAACAGATTGGTCATGATAACTTTAAAAATGTCCACTTAAAAATTCATGTGATATGATGCTGTCTGCACTTGAGAAGATTGCTGCAATTCTTCCCATCCCTATCAGAGATATGTTTTTATTTGGTGACTTAAGGAATGAGTATGTAGAGAAACACAGGAGTCATCTGTTTTGTCTGGCATCACTCAGCCATATAGATTTCATTTACATGTAGTGAATTCATTTTCATGATCCTTGCTGTACTAGTCTAAAGACTTGTTAATTGTAATAAAATGCTTTTTCTCTTCTTTCTACTCATCTAGATAAGATACTAAAGCAGATTATCATTGTGAATTCCACTAAAAGACTTATTCAGCCATGTTGATGTCCTTTGAGGTAGCATAGAAAAGGTGAAGTAAATAGTGTATAACAGAAAGTGAGCAGTCATTGTCCAGCTATATAAGGATTTCTACTTTATTAAAAAGACAAAAAAGGCGAGTAGTTATTCATTGTATCAATGAAGGTACTTAGTTAAATTTATTTTGCAGCGTCTCAATAGAAAAATTGTGCAGATGATAGACTTTAATATTAACTGTTACATATTTGTTTTTGTGATGTATCTGATACTATTTTTGAAAGTGTATGAGTGAATATATTCAAATATTAATCTAATCTTAATAAAGATAATAGGATAATGACATTAAATAAGATTTTTTACAACTGTTTTGAAGATAGTATGTACTAAGCTAGGAAGTTAATTGGATAACTTTCTAAAAAAAATTATTCTCTCTAGGAGTTTACATCTTAAGTCTTGTTCTCTCAAGGGCACCTAACTGACCTGAACTTATTTTTCTGTGATGTGAGTAGTAAAATTCTTGTAGACTTCCCATAGCATGTGAACATGCATTTATGTAGATGAGTAAAGGTTCTTTTAGTAATTCTCTTTTGCTCTTTGTTTCAGGCTGTCATCAGCCTGGCAGCATCAGAATTGCTTCAACCCCTACTAGGGTGGATGAATTCAAATACCAAATGACTCGTGCAGGTTGGCATCCAACAGAGCAGTACCTAATCACACCTGAGAAAGTGCAAGAGCTATTTCCCTTATTGAACATGGATAAGGTAAGGAACCTAATTTTATGAAAAATAGCTTCCATTGCAATTAAATATTGATCTATCAGATACATAGACATAAGGTCTGTTTCCATACAAATTGCACAAGAAATTACTGGTTGTCAGTGAAAAAAAGATGGTTTAGAAACTAAAATCAGACACATGCATTTTGGTGCATACTGAATGCCAGTGTGCATACTATTAATGATAGTATATATATTAATATAATAATAAATTATTGTAACCTTTGATTGCATGGGACAAATGAGCAGTTTTACTTCCTTAGACCATTGTTAAGTCAGATAGCTGTAGTCCTGTTATTACTATATGTTCTGGAATATTGTTTTGATTTGACTCCTTGAGGTTTTCTGCATTCAAGAAATAAAACTTTTTAAAAAAATATATAGTAAATTTTGATAAATTTTAATTTCTTTCATATTGTGGGATTTTACCTCTGTTTAGGTGTTAGCTGGCCTGTATAACCCTGGAGATGGTCATATTGATCCCTATTCTCTCACTATGGCCTTGGCAGCAGGAGCCAGAAAATATGGTGCCCAATTAAATTACCCCGTCCAAGTGACTAATCTGAACTCCCGATCAGATGGGACATGGGAAGTTGAAACTCCACTTGGAATAATTCAAGCAAAGAGAATCGTGAATACTGCAGGTAAGATTTAACATAAGCATTTGTATACTCTTTCAGATTTACAGACTAGCTGACGTGGAGCATCTACACTGAATTCTGTGGATTACAGGAATAAGTAATGCATATTTTATATGCAACATTCACTTGATTTGTGGCAAAATGTATTTTGCACATGTTACATTACAATATCATGAAAATTTAGCTTTTATGTTAATCGTCCTTGACTAGGCATTAAAAATAGTTCTTTTTGGTTTGTCTTCAGCAGTTATTAGTCAGACTGTATTGTTAGATTTTGGTATCAGAAGACACCTTTACTGGTCTGCAGTAGGTTATGTAGAACAAAGGCTAGTGTCTATGCATATTGTCCTCTAAAATCTCCTGGAAGCTACTCAGGAAGGGAGATGGGATGTACAAATGAAGAAGAAATGTCTTCACTGGTCATCCTGCTCTGGCAGGGGGGTTGGTCTGAATGTATCTTTTGAGGTTGCTTCCAATTCCTAACATTCTGTGATTCAAAGAGACTGCGGATTTGCTGCAAGAAAGATAACCCTGCCTGTTTCAATATTATCTTTCTCTAAGATTTAACTCTGTCGACATATCCTTGAAACAGAAGATTTTTGTTGCTCTTTGAGTAGAATTTTAAACATGCTGTTGGCTTAACAATACATTTTTTCATGTAATAAAAATTTCCTAATTCAAAGGAGCTTGTATTTACATATGCATTATTTATTCTTCATTGTGTTAAAGAAGCCAAACTGATCTTTCTACTTCAAAGAGCTTTGGGCAAGAGTCCTTTGCATTTGTGTCTTTTTTCCTAAACAAGTTGATAAATCTAAAAACCTCTACTCAATCTAAACTTCACATATTTTTATGCTGCTTTATACAAATTATAGAAAAATATGTTACTGGTGAAACTCTGCACCTCCTACACGAAGTGTGCCTTCTACTTCTTATTAGAAGACTTGCTGGTTTTGGTTATTTGAAAACATGTAGCATATTTACCATTTGGATGGAATTTTTGCAGACTGTCTGTCTCAAACTGAATTATATCTGCATTTTTAGGACATGAGTCTTTTGTGCATCCCATCCCAGTGAATAATCAGGCCTCAGTAGGGAGCTGTGATGGCTCAAGAGGATATTCTCTTCTTGCTCAGATGAGACAAATGAACTGGAAGCAAGGATATGTCTTTATAATTCCTTTCTGTATCTGTGTAATGAAAAAGAAAAAAGCACATATTTCTAGTGCAAAGCAGACAGAATTAAGAATTTGAGTGAGACAGGGGCTCTTCTCGTTGGTGAGTTGAATAACCATGGCTGACAGTTGGAATTAGGAGTGAATTAGACTGGAAGAGGAATAGACTGGGAGAGTGAAATGCTTGGAAAGGATTTCTGGGTGTGGTCGGGAGCACTGACAGCAAGTGGAACAGTTGTGTTAGAGGACTTGCTGAATAAGGAAGCTCAAACAGGGAGGGATGGTGACTGTGAGGATGGTGACTGTGGGGATGACACCACAGAGAGGGACAGTGGAAAGAGACCTGACATACTTCATTAAGGGAACTAGAGCTGGAGCTTTTTGGACAAAAAGATTAGGAAGCATGCTTGGGTTGTGTGTGAAACTGAGACTGGATAACTCAGGCTTCCTGAGCTGTCTGAGCATGAAAGACTGTCAGAGTGGCAAGGAACGGGTAGGTAGGGATGTAGGAGTAGGGAGTAGGGGAGTAGATTGGAAGGAAGAGAAGGTGGTGGGACAGGATTTGACAAGGAAGGAAACTGACTTGCACATGGAAACAAAATAGCAGAAGAAGGATTTAAGGTCTGGATTAAGAAGAGTCTGAGACAGCAGAAAGGAAGAGCAGATGTGGGACAGACAGGGATGGGGAAGTGAGAAGATCAGGATAGAGAGAAATTTGAAGTGAATGGAATAAAAGGGCTGAACGCTGAGAGGCTGACCTTTACTGGATGACCTTTCTTTCAGTGCCTGGGATGTAGACACCCTTGTGTTAGATCATTCCAGGCTTTCATTAAAGACTAACTGGGAAAGACATCAAAAAGTGTGCTTTCTCATCATATATCTCCCATACATACGCAATTACCTGGTATTGCTATAGGCCTGGCTAAAGTAGCAGAGATCTGAGAAAGTTCACCTTGAGGCTCTGAGTGTTCTCATGAGTGCCACATAATGACATTTTGGAGAGAAAGAGGACTACAAGAGTTCAGTATACTTTTTAGGTAGCAAACAACCCCACTCACAGGGAAAATAAAAGAATTTTACTTAGACTCCAAAGTCAAGCACTTAAAATATGAGAGTCGTCAGTATTTGATGGCCTTTGGACCGTGAGTTCATGGCTCTCAGGTGTCAATTCTGGGACAGCATTCAGTTACAAAATCACAAGCTCTCTTACTAATAGGATCTTTATGTCATTTGTTACACAGTATGGATATATTGGTCTGGGAGTGATCCAAGATTATGGAATGGAAAGGCAGCTCTTTTGGCAATGAGAGGCTTATTTAGGCTACAACTTCTAGGTACTCATTGTTCCTAACTATTGGCTCTGCATCATATGCATGAAATATCACAGATGTAGTAATTTCTTTATATTTTTCTGGTGTAGTTATCTTTCTTTGGCTTATATATCAAGTTAACATCAGGCACAGTTTTCTAGTAAATGCTTTTCAAAGTTTATTTGCAAAACCTAGAATGCATCTTTGTGAAATTTTCTTAAGTCTTTTTTATTATTTAGTAAGTTATTAAACCAACAATATATTTAGGTAGTTAATATATTTAATTAATTGTGTAGTTAACTGTTCAGTTAAAATAAACATTTAAAGCACGTATTGCTTAACATTCTGGCTAAGGATGTGAAATCAATACTGTATAACACATACTTGTCATAAATATTCTCTCAGCTAGCATTCATTCTTCTTCTCAGCCTTGCCTCATTCCATTACAGATCATGACTGGTATAATTCAGAGCTCATATTTTAGGCTCATGTTGCAATATGAGCAGAGAAAAATATATCAGAAGGCTCCTACATTCTCTCTCCCCACCTCATCCCCCAGCTGACATCTGCTGTGGAACTGGAACAAACTAGTTTCAGCCAATATGTAGCTGTTTCTTATGTGAGATATCCATTTTGGAAGAAAGCAGATGCCAAATAAATAATCCCTGACATGAACTAACTGATACCGAGCCTGCTGAAGTGATTTACAGCCTATTTCTTATAGGCATATATAGACATACATTTGCAGACATGTACATTGTGTATACACAGCCATTTATACATACATAGAAAGGGAAGATTTTCTTTTTTAAAAAACAAGAGATAGATTACATAGTTCAGCAGATATGCTAAGTAATAGCATCACTAAATATTTGAGATTCAGATGATTGCGATCTTTACAATTTAATCTTCACAAATGTCCTAGAGATAAAATTTATGCCTTCATTTGTCTTTACTGTGTGTGATAAGACTTGACATCTGCTTCCAATTAGAATTTAGTTCCACAGAATATATTCTTCCTTCTGCCATTTTTATGTTTGTAATAGCTTTTGCATATGGTTCAAAGAGTTTAAACAAAGAAACTGTAGTATTTTTTATTTAGTAAATGTCAGTTGTTGTTATTCTCAGCAATTATGTAAGCACTTATCATGTGTGATTTTTTTTTTAGAAGTAAAATATTTAAGACTTTATTTTCTGCAAACCTTAACTGTTTGCCTTTAATTCAAAAGCAATTTAAAAATGAGCTGTGTTTGTAATGTACTTCTGCAAACTTAATGACTAAGAAATTTTAATATTATTTTGGAAGAAACAAAGATAAGTTTCAAAGAATTAAGTCTACCATTTTTATTTTCTTTGAGCATCTTGAGTATGCTTGCTCTCTATTATGTTCCCTTGGATTCTGTTTTAATGGGTAAACAAAATAATGAATTTATTAGAAGCACATTACCAGAGCATTATTTCTTTTTCAAATACCTCTTTAAGCCCCAGCAATTTTGTCAGAAAAACAGTGCATGATACTAGAGATGGAGTTTCTGTTACTTCACTTTTCCTTCTCCTGTGTGGATTATTAGCTGACATTTCCTTAAAATAGTTTTCTTTGTAGGTGACATGGAAGTGCCCAAATCAAAGGAAGTTCCCTAAGGATTGTTAGCTTCCACTTAAATCCACATTTGTATTTGTCTTGTGTAACAGAGAAACCCTTGCAAATATGCTAGAAGTTCAACTTCATTAGATTATTGTGGTTTGTTTTTGTATAAGGAAGCATAAATCAGATTTCAGTACCCTTAAAAAATGCTTTGGTTCACTCACTGTATGGCTATGGCATGATCTTCCCAAATTAACTGACTTAACAAGTGTTCCGTCAGTGAGTCTTCTCCAAGTGATGAAGATGCCATTGAGAAGCAAAAGCCTTACATATGATGAATGCAGAACAACAGATATTAGGTTTTAGTATTTACTGGGCAGGAGCTTTTAACTGAACAGATCCCTCTATCATGATCCTGGATTTCCTGCTCCCTTGCTTTAGCTGGCTATCAGCAATTGTCAAGTGAGTTGCCACAGAAAACGTTTTTTCTCAGAAACTTCACAGTTTTAGAAACGGTGAGTGTTAGATCCTGCGGCTGGTTTGTAATACTGAGTATGGTACTGACAGCCCTCCTGGTGTGGGGAATGACACAAGGCCAGCACAGCCCATCTCAGCTTTCCTAATTGCCCTGGTTTAGGCCATGCCAGAGATGAGAGGATGTATTCCTAAACTCATGTCAGCAAGCAGTGCAGGCTGGCTGCTCTCTGCAGGACAAGGACCCAAGTGTGGTAACAAGGCTGACAGGGCAGGGGCCAAGCCAGCAAGGGCTCCATCCTATCAGGCACAAGGGAAGGAGCATGGCAGGCCAGGACCAGCAGCTGAGATCAGCCCATGGTCCATATCTCCAGATAAGCTTGTGGGAATGAGGCACAGGCAGATCTATACTGATGAAATCAGGCTGAGGCCAAGCCTGGAAGTTGATCCACAGGTCATGAACAGGTGATGATAACCAGGGTCACATACTGATCAGTGATCACAGACAGAACCACAGAGACAAGACTGGGCTGAGGTCAGGCTGGGAAGTAGTCAGATCAGGGTCTGAATCAATGAGGCCCATAGCCAGGCACGGCCATGGTTGTGACATAGCTGTAAACAGTCACACCTTCGATCAATCCAGCTCAGACAGGTTCTGAAGGCACTGAGCTGACCTGAAAAGGGGCTCCTGGGCCCATGGGCAGGGGTGTGGGTGGAAGTCCTAGGTGAGGCTTCTTAGGATCATTGACTGTTTGTGCACTCGGGGCCCTGAGAGCTAAATTTTGACCGTATCTTGGAGACCATGAAATTGAAGTAGGAGCATCTGGGTAAGACAAGTAAGCAGCGTAGAGGAAGAAAAGTTGTATGAGTGTAAATCCCAGGAAAAGGGGCAGATGTGTTAGGTAGCATAACTTGCTGGAGATAGGTTTTCATAAGCAGTTTGGGTTCAGCTGGTTATACCATACTGATCTTCCCTCTTTTTTTGGGTGCCATATAGTACATCACCTCTAATTTGGAAGTCTCTGCTACCTCTTCCTCCTCTTCCATTTTGCCTTCCCCTAACCCTTACTCCTACTCTGCCCTGAAACACTTTCATTGGATTCTCCCCCTTAATTCCTGCTTCTGAGACCTCAACTCCTTGATCCAGAGAGTGAGGAGAGTGAGGCTGAGGGATATGCCAAGCTTCTTAGAGCAGCTGCTGTCCTGGTCAAATGTGTCTGATTCCCAGGTCTGTATGTTCCAATCTCATAGCATGTGTGAGCCATGATGCAGAGCCCAAACGATAAAGTTTGGCAGTTAAGTGGCTTCCACTCCTTGATGTTGACAGCGGTATCTCACAAAGTGTGTCCTAACAGAGAGAAACAGCTAGTCTGGAGGTACAGAGATTTAGGTCTTCTTTAACTTATGCCTAGTAGTATACATGAAGGGTCTGTATAGGCTTCAGTGTCACGGAAATTGTTGCTTTTTCTGGTCACAGTCTCTGTCAGAACTTTTAGTTGGGCAGCTATGGGAGAGCACATTGACTACTCTCAAATATGAACATCATAATGAATTGATTGCTATGTGAGAGATTTAATTAATATGAGTCACATGCTGCATATGAAAGAGGAGAGAAACTTAAATTCTCGAGGTTATCTGGCTGAAAGTACTGCCTTGCTCTGTTGGAGTGTTAGGACTTGACTACTGTCTTGGAAAAACATGTTGGCTCATTTGGGTGAAAGTAAGAGGCTATGTGAACACCTATGGTGTGAGCTAATTTATTCTGGTTTTTGAGTGTCTCTGACTTTGCTAGGACTGCATTGCAGACTTTACCGAAATAAACCGTGGTATTTGTGGGACTATTAATTAAAATATCTTCTTAACTTTTAGAAGCCTAATTTATATTTTTCCAATTATATTTTTTAATAGCTGTATACTATAATAATATATGGTAGTATAGTTAGGAACAAGGACATGAAATTATAGAGGGAAAACTATGCTGGATAATATGAAAAGTAATTTGAAAAAGTATGGAAACAGGTTTCTTTGTCCCATACCTTAAAGTGCAGTTCTTCCTGAAAATGTTTTACTGTTATTTTCCGTTCATTGAAATTAGTCTTTGAATATTTCTATTTTGGTTTTGTTGTTGGTTTTTTTTTGTCTTCTCTAGGCTTCTGGGCCCGTGAAATAGGCAAGATGATTGGCCTGCAGCACCCTCTCATACCCGTTCATCATCAGTATGTTGTGACATCAACTATCCCTGAAGTGAAAGCCCTAAAAACAGAATTGCCTGTGATTCGTGACTTAGAAGGATCATATTATCTAAGGCAAGAAAGGGATGGTCTTTTATTTGGTCCATATGAAAGTGAGGAGAAGATGAAGCTGCAAGACTCATGGGTAACAAATGGAGTCCCAACAGGTAATTAAGAACATTAAATCTTTAAACTTAATAAGCACTAGCACATATTTTAATGTGTATAAATCCCAGCCTCTCATGCTGCTTTGTGTGATGGAAAATAGAAAATATTTGCAGTGTGTGATTGTAATGCAGAACTCTTTTTTTCAAAGAACAGAACTCTAATGATAAGAGTGAATAGAAATAAAAAGGCAACATTAAAAAAGCCTATTTGAAAAAGGCCCAAAATACATATCTACAACACAGTCTTACTCTACTATTTGAACAGGTGCTCATGTGTTGTGGTTAGATGCAGTCACCAAATCTGTGTTATGTATCCTTTTGCAACTGAATAGGCATTTTTGTAAGCTGCAGTTCTCTCCAGCATACTCACAGTAGCTTTGGATTTTTGCCGTTCCAACAGAGATAATGTAGTTGTTGAAGAGGAACCAAAGTATAGCAAAAGGATGTCTTAGACAAAATGCTATGCTTCGATGTAAGTGCAAGAGAGCTGTAGATTTGTATAGAATCTTTGTACAAAAAGTCCCAACCATGTCATATGACTGTTTAATTAAAAAAAAACCAAACCTGAAATTACTGTTTTATATCTAGGCTTCAGCTTTCCATTCACTTCTAGACAGAAATATTTAGTAAATACTGTTCTGTTTTAAAAAAACTCAATGTGTTTCCTGAGGAAGAGCAATCAGCATTATTGAGCTTTGGATTGCATTGTCACACCTTCCTGAATTTACTTTACTGTCTCTAGTAGTGTCAGGTCCCTCTACAGACTTATATTCAGTAATGCCTAGAGCCCAGACTGAAGGCTGAAGTATATACAAGAATTCACTAAATACCATGGAAATCATAAGCTGACACAGGCAGTCTTTCTTCTCCTTCCCAAATTGTTGGCATATTGAGAAAAATAAGTGGGTCTTAGTAACACAGAAGGAAGTTTCTCTGTTTCTCCACTTCCTTTCTACTTCGTTGTTGAATTTGTGTTACCTTAGGATTAAACAAATATGTATAAACTCGATCCTGCAGGTAACTAGGAATTTTGGCGCACCATTTTTTCTTGTGTAGGATGGCAAAGGCTTGAACATACTCACAGATGAATTCCGTATAACTTTTGTATATGTAGATTGTATAAGTATATCTTAAATGTAAGTATTTTCAGTGTAATTAAATATATAATAAGAGTCAAATATTTGTGCAGGTTTTGGAAAAGAACTTTTTGAGTCGGATTTAGACAGAATAATGGAGCATATTGAGGTTGCTATGGAAATGGTTCCAGTTCTGAAAAATGCAGACATCGTAAACACGGTTGCAGGTCCTATCACCTATTCTCCAGACATTCTTCCTATGGTGGGACCTCATCAAGGTGTCAGAAATTACTGGGTAGCTATTGGTTTTGGGTGAGTATATTCTTCATGGCAACTTTTGTCAGTCATACTGTTAAGATGGCAGTCAGCTCAAGCTTTACAAATTGTCATGGGTTTGGGGATTGTTTTACATGTATTTTATGTAAAGTGTAATTGGAAATAGTCTTAATTACCACTGCCTACATAGTACAAGCATTCTATTACTATTTCTTCATAACTCTCACAATTTTTTCCATTTATTTTCTCCTTTTATTCTGGAGGCCAGTACCTGTGACACTTAATGAAGCAGCAATAAATGGGTAGTACTTTGTGCTGTCTGTGCAACAAGTTAAAGTCGTAGAAGTGCTGAGCTTTACGATACACTTTCCAGTTCATTTTATGTATTGCTTTGAATTACTCTGTGTTCAACAGTTGTTTGGCATATGCAAAAACTGCTGTCATTGAAGTTGTGGCAAGAGTGATTGGTACAAGGAGAAATTCTAATTTGAGGTATTACTTTCAGGTGAAGAGTGGAAGGCATGCTAAGCAGAAGGCACTGCCAACATACTGGGTGACTAACCACTCTAGGGATGTGATCACAGCTGTGGTTCTGACTGTTTAAGTTTGAGCTGAGAAATGATGTTGCTGGATATTGGAGGAAAGCAATACAGTGTGACTGGAATGGGTGTTGTACTGTTGTCATTTATTCACTCCTGCCCATTATATTTTATTTAAATGTGACTTATATCTTACACGCTCTGGCCTTACTGAGGTCAGTGGTAAAACTCTTACTGACTTATCTTTAATTGTCTTAGTTTGACCATTGATTCAAGATGGATAGAATGAACTGTGAGCAGATACAGGACCTGCTCAGCATG